AAAAAAGCCCCCCCCCCCCAAATGTGTATTGGGCCTAAATGAAACTCACAATATTAAATATGCTTCAGCTCTGTTTGATCTTTATAAAAGCAATGAAAGATTACTTCATAATAATATACTTTATAAAGATGAGACTTCTTTACAGCCCAAGCCCCTTACCCCTCCATCATATAAAAACTTACAGTAGCACCCCTATTTGAAATGTATTAGTGATAAGTTTAAAGTTAACATTCCTTATTTGCTCCTCCATTTTGACAGTTAAAACTCACTGCATAGTAAAGTAAACAAAAATAACCCATCTTGTTATACAATAATATACTATACTAGGTCTATGTTGGAAAGTGCTCTACAAACAGGTAGATTCTGGGAATATATCTTACATGATCTCATCACTAAGGTATGCTAAGAGGATCACTTGAAAATTTTTCCTACTATTCACAGCTTAATCTATCTCATTTATTGCTATACTATGGAACCATTAAGAGAACAACAAAAGATAAGAATTGAATTCATCATGATTATTCACAATTTATCATGATTTTTTACAGAAAGATTCACAAAATTTTCCCTTTGTTGTGGCAATCCATATACCATAGATACTGTAATATAAAAAAAATAATTAAAAATTATAACACAGTTCAAATGTGTAAAAAATATATTTACTTTGATTTGATTGACCAATCATACAAACATATTAAATCCCAACAGACCAACTTATTCTCTTGGCAAGTGATAAACAAAAGAATGACATGACTCGGGCATCCTAAGTTGTGAGAGTCAAGTTCCTGGAGAATTTGTTGTGCAGGACAGGCAGAGGTTTTGGACGCGTGTACCTACCCATGTTCAATATATAAAAAGAGGATTACTGCCTATAATGTTCAATAAATCTTATGTCTGCCTTATTTAGTGCAAAAGAATGGGAAAATTTAGTTTAGCATAAGCCCTTGTGAAAATCTCTTAAAATCTTGGAGAAAAGATGAACCAAAATTCCTGGAGACTCCAGGACAATCCAGCAGATTTGGGAGTTCTGTGTGATTTGAATCTGTGACCTTGAGATCATAGATGTTTAAATACTTTTTAAATGTTTTTTTTTATATTGAAAATTGATAGGCTTGCATACAATTTGGTCGTTTGGGCCACTATTTGTGACTAATTTTAATGTTTTGTTTTTGATAATATAAGTGCCATTTGAACCTGTGACCTCATGGTTGTTTAAATCCTTTAAATTCTTTTTGTATATTGAAAATTGTTAGGCTTGTATACAGTTCGGACTTCGGCTACAACTTGACTAATTTTGAAGTTGTTTTTTTTTTTTTTAAAGTGAAATGATGGTTGAAAAACTGAGCCTCATCAGCAAACACACTACACCAACCTTGACAATCCTAAAGAGTTTTACAAACATTGGACTATATTAACGAAAAAAGTTTGTCATTAAGATCAGATGTATATGTTTACAAGTGACACTAACAGCCTTCAAATATACATCCAAGATATTATTGTTTATATTTTTAAGTTTATCACCTGTACATTGTTGTGATGAATGGAGGACATATAAGTAAATCAACTTCAACTTACAGTTCAGTCTAAAATGTTTCTTTATGTACTTTTTAATATCTTGGCAAGAATGTTAATGAGTATGCGCAGGCCTATAACATATCATTCATAGTTATTGTGCCAGTGCATTATAGATGAGAATACATGCATATTATGCATCTTATATCAGCCAATGTAACAGGATGACAAGATAAGGATTTTAGCAGTCAAATAAGTTATAGCCCTATACTAATAAGCAATTAGAATAGGTGCGTATAATACACTAGTGGAAATTTATTATACAAAGGTTAGATTAAAGCAAGAAAAAAAATCCTGAGCGCCTGCAAGGCCTGAAGGATTTTTTTGAATGTTATTAATTTTCCTATTATAATAAATGTTCCCTAGTGTATTATACGTAACTATTCTAATTGCTTTATAAGCAGACAGGTAAAATCGTGTGATGATTTCAACTACGAATCAATCTTGGTATAGTTTATTAGGGTCTTTGATTCAAGGAAGTCCTTAATTTACCACTTGTTTGTCGATTGGGTCGATGTCTTTCTTTCCGCAGGTGCTAGGTGTAAAATCACTAGCCTATAGAATTCATCGCAGTGCATGAGATGTACAAATTGAATTGATCTTTTGCTGACAAAACTAAAAAAGATCAAGTCAACCATTTGCTATATGAAAAAAAAAATTCACTGTTGGTGATAGGCAAACTTATAATTACTATTATTACAGCCTACTTCTTCAGAAGGTTTTTTTTATTCTGGCTAGAATTGAAAAAAAAAAACTATAAAAGAAATCTCATTTATTTACTACACTCATTTCAAATATGTGAGTCATTTGAATTGGCCTTTTTATTAAACCAATCTAAACCTGCTGGAAGAGAAGTAGATATAGCTTGTCAAGGAAAATGTCATATCATTGTTGATTAAGTATTTATTTATTATTCCCCAAGTTTTCATCATAGCTATAGGGTGTCCTCGGGCATCACACATGTGTAGTGAGGCATAAGATTGACCATCTGATGGGTTCAGCAGGTCAGTATTCTATCACCTGTACTCCATAGCCTGCTGCACTTGGGACAGTATCAATCAAGGCCTTTCAGTTCTTTCTGTTTGTATTGTAGAATAATTCCCCAATACTTACTCACTTTCTTAATTGTGCTGGCCAGTGGCAACAGCTGCCGAGGTGATTTGTACAGTAGCTGTGCTTTTGGAAATATTCATCCTACTGAGGAGCCAGAAAATAATACTACTTTCACAGATGACCAGAAAGATCTGTCTGACTTCCGTTGAATATATATGAATCCAGAGGTGACGGAACTAGGCGGTGCTGTGTTATGGAGAGTAATGTGTGACCGGAAATGGTCTGCAGTCAGTTGGTTGTTACCATGCGCCAGTGATGTTGAAGTATATAATACAGCAATATGAAACTATTATGTAGGCCTAATGAATGAATAAAGTTCGGAGTTTGTCGGGTAGTGAAATGATTATTTCACATTTTAAGTGCTCCCTAAATTCATAAGTGTAAGCTAAATTACGGTGATTAATTTAATTATCGAAGATATGGAGACAATTATTTCGAATCCCTCTTTCCAAGAGGGGATGCAAATGCTTTGTGAGTACGCCGCGGTACTTATATTCACAAAGAAATACACACAACTGGTTAGCTAACAATTATGTCAATGTTACATGAACACCTGGGAAGGAAGGTGCAATCACGTTGTTACCTAGCAAACGTCTGTACTGTATGGGGAGGGGCTGCTGATGTACTGTGTAGCGGGGGACGATGAGGCATAAGACTAGGACTAGGCCTAACTAAGACAGTGGAATTATATGTGATCTGATAGAAAGTACACTTTCGGAAGAAATAAATTAAAATAAGAAAAAAAAATAACTAAGAATAATTCATTTGCAGAGGTCCCTTATTTAAGTATTATACAATGCTAAAAATGCGGCTCTTGTAGCCCTGGTTTGAGCAAGGCATCCATGTGCAAAGCACTGGTGTTTGTTTATCCATGAAAAAAGCACGCCGGGAAAGTTTGCCTTACCAGGAAAAGGTGACGTATCTAGCTTATGACGTATGCATGCTAACTAATGTGAGTGTGACGTCACCAAAAAATGAATATTTTCTATTATAACCAAAATATTAATAACTACAAAGTTTCTGGGCGTAAATTCCCATAATATGAATGAAGGGTTGCTCAATCTCCTTGCCATACAAATTACAGCTCCCACTGACGTCTCAGTCGAGAAATACGGGTAGCTGAAGTTTTTCTCGCAAATCTGACTACAAAACCATATCCAAATTTCCGCACATTTGAACTTTGACCCTCAGGAAGCATGCACAGCGCGGATTGAAAAATATTTAAATGCTCAAATTATGGCCTATAACATGCTTTAATTTAGTTTTTAAGAAAAGTAAATTGAGCATATAAAAGTTTTACGCACACGTGCGCTCACATCATTACTCACTTGCGCGCGATAATGGCACAAAAAGTTGACTCCTGATACGAGATATACATATGTCAACTCTCAATGAAAAATGCCTGTTGGTGAGGGATTCATTACCAACAATCATAAAGTTTGACAAATATTTCAAGGAAGAAAGATAAGGGGGTCAGAAAAAAAACATTCATTTCGACCATGATGACGTCATATAAACTATAATACTTGTGTAAAGTGTCATTTAAAAATGCCTGTTGGTCATTCATCCTAAGGAGCTATAACTGATTAAAAACAGACCTGATTTTAGTATATTTTCGCTGTATGTCGGCACTAAAGCGCACAAGATAACTATGTTTGATGCGCGCATACGGTATTGCTATTGACATTAAGATGACTGAAAAGAATGGAAATTTGTGAATACAATGTCAGGAACCCAAAATATGTAAGAAAAAAACATAATTTTTAGCTTCGGTACGTGCTGCGCGTGTAAAAATGCGCGCGCGTAGTGGAAAATGTCAAAAATTTTGAAATGCTCAAAATGGCCTGAAATGTGATTTTGAGCATTTTAAAATTTTGACGCACACATGTGCAGGCTTATGACGCGCACACGCAATACTTCGGTATGTGACATTCAACCTTGACCTTAAGTTTATGCCCAATGAATATAATTTAGAAATGACAATTGGCTTAAAGAAAATATGATCAATAATATAAAAATGCAAAATTGCACGTAGGTGATGTCACGCATGACTGAGCACATTAAAAAACTTATTGTGACTATTCCAGGTCAAGCCAAATGTTCGCTGAAGCTGTCATGTATGTAGCTCATGCCAATTTTGAGATATCGTGCTAACAAATATTTGACAGAAATGTAGAATAAAAAGATCTCTGACAATAACATTGCTGGTGAAATGAATCAGCAATTAATAACAACTTTGTTATTGGAATCTCATTTTCTTTTTCAGCACAACTCTTTAAATTAAACCATGAGATAACAATATTTTTTTCCCCTAGAATCTGGACCTTGATACAGAGATCGAAGCGGCTAATGGTATCAATGTACCAGCTGTCAGGCTATTTGAGTTGGCGCTGGCCTTTTTCCGTGACCGTGCATTGGAGGAAGTGTATGACCACAGTGACCATCAGGTGGACCTGCAGGACATCCGTTGGGTCCTGACTGTGCCAGCTATTTGGAAACAGCAAGCTAAACAGTTCATGAGGAAAGCAGCATACTTGGTAAATGAGGGCACTATTTAACTTTAACAGAAGATTAAAACACATATAGGCCTACTAAATCAAATAGTCAACATACGACTCGGGTGGGTGCAGGATTTGGCGGTAGGAGTATATGAGACTGCACACCACCTTAACCCCACCATTGTCGATACTGAGGGACAAACATCCACCAGTAGGTGCCCGGAAATTGCACTCTCATATCCTAATGGTACTATGTTCATATCAACCACACAATACAAACATTTTTCTTAATACAATTTAGGGGGTGTGATCGCACTGTCTGCACCCCTTCCCCCCGCATCCGCCAAGTATGAGAGTTGGATTAAATATGAAATACAAACTTTTAAATTGAATGTATGAATGTCCACTAACAACTACTGCTGTAAAGAATTCCTATATTGTCTGTTCGTTATTTTGGTATTCATTAATATCTAGGCTGGTATTGCTTCAACTCATAACCCTGATCAGTTGACAATTGCCCTGGAGCCAGAAGCTGCTTCCATTTATATTCGTCAGCTTAAGAAATGTGAACCTGAGAAAAATGTGAGAAGAAGTATTATTGAGGTGGAGGATATGAATACATCGGTGAATGCTGTTCCTGAGAACCTCAGCGAAGGTAATGTACTGTACCATCAATTATAATTATTAGCTATAGCCTATTGATTGGGATGATGATGTTGGTGGCATTGGTGATTCGGATGAAAGAATGATATGCCTTCAACATAAATTTCTTCAATATTATTATTGTAAAGCAGAAAACAATTACTGTACCATAGCTCTGATCTTTCTTCTCTGTAAACAGTGGATTGATTTTTTTGTTCTGTTGTCTAGGTTGTCGATATATTGTGGTTGATTGCGGCGGTGGCACTGTTGACATCACAGTCCATCAGATTGAGGATTACCGTGGTCTGGTGGAAGTGCACAAAGCATCGGGAGGAACATTTGGTTCGATCAGTGTTGACAGACAGTTCCAGCAACTTCTGGTGGACATCTTTGGTCAAGATTTCATAGATGAGTTCAAAGTAATGGCACATAACCTAAAGCTTTTTCTATAAATATCAAGTATTTTGTAAAACATTTCTGTGATTTACCCATATATGAAGTACACTAATAGGAGTGGAGTTGAAAAGCTTGGTGGTTAAAATGCCTGCCTTCCAATCCCATGGTCCTGGGTTCAATTCCTGTGATGGAAGGATTTTTCTCACGACTTAAACAACTCCAATCCCTTATACCTGCCACCTTTGTTGCCTTCTGATGCGCGAGACAAAAAAAAGTAAAATTTGTATATAGCACCCTCTATGTAGAAATCACGATATAGAGTGCCCTTTATGTAAATTTTGTTTTAAATTGTAATGGTGAAACTGCTACTTATTACAGTCATCGATCGGTATAGCTTCATTAAAAGAAATTGACTGTATTCACATTTTAATGACAAATTCACTTCATATTAATTTATGGATTTTAGGTGAGACTTTATTTATACCTAGTTTAGCGAACCCGCCGACTGCAAATATTGAAGATTTTAAAAAAAATAAAATTTTATTTTTGGCCAATTAGCGCACCCACACGCCTTAGGGTATAATCGGCCAAAAATTTTATCTTTTATAAATTGCATGAGACATTAAAAGTGGATGCTTATGCGCGAGACTCGCGCATTATGGTGAGATTCAGTTATTAAACCTTAACTGGGCGCTGTGGGAGAACAGTAGATAGGCCTATCTACTATACAGGATATCAAGTGGTCCACTGATTATATTTAGATAATATAATACCTGATGATGTTCGAATAAAGAACAAAATATTGAATCATGGCTTCTCTTAGTTTTTTTGGAGTCTGCATGATACGTACAGGATACCCATTATAAAGAATTTTAAAAAAATAAAAAAACAATATCAGCTCATCTTTGAATTCATATTTAATATTAAGTTTATATCAATTTTTACTTTGTTGCTGAAAGGAGTATAATAGATAAATAACCTTTTACCTTGGCTTTTATCTTCCATAGATAAAACGTCCAGCTGGTTGGGTTGATTTGATGATTGCATTTGAAGCAAGAAAACGAAATGTGAATCCGTGGAAAAACAACCCACTGAATGTGTCGCTGCCATTTTCCTTCATTGACTATTACAAGAAGTTTACAGGAACGTCAACAGTGGAGCACGCCCTCAAGGTGTACAATAGTGAACATGTGAAGTGGTCTGCACAAGGTAGGTATTTCTATAGCACTGGTGAATTGTTTGAGTTATGTTGTTATTAAAGTTATGTATGATGAATGAGTGAATGAATAAATAAATGCATGAATAAGTGAGTGTAGTGAGTGAGCAAGGAAAAAAGTGGTTAATTTTAGACAAAAACAACCTAATAATGTATTACCTTTACATAAGTCTTGAGTATAAGAAATGCAGCTTTTTCTATAAAAATGAGCGTTAGAATGGAACAGCCTCAGTGTTTGAAGAATTGTATTGATTTATTTTAAAACTTGTCATTTTATATATTGCATTTTGTATTTATGTGCACGGCCTCAGGGAAAAACAAACCATGTGTTGATCTGGGAATCTTTTGTGAATAAAAAAGTTGAATCTGAATTGTTAATATCCCTCTCCTTTCTTTCTTTACATCAATTCAATAACGTATTTTGGTTTTCTTTGAGTTCCAGGAATGATGCGTTTTACTTCTGAGGGAATGAAGTCATTGTTCCAACCATCAATTAACAGTATCTTAGGATGCATCGATCAAGTGTTGAACCAACCAAACATCGGTCATATTTCCCACCTGTTCATCGTTGGTGGATTTGCAGAGTCTTCATTAGTCCAAAACATGATACAAAAACACTACCAAGATCACCTACAGGTTATCATTCCTCACGATATCACATTGGCGGTTGTGAAAGGTGCGGTGATGTATGGAATGGACCCAACTGTTATCAGAGTTCGTAAATCAAAGTTGACGTACGGTGTAGGCGTTTTGAACAAGTTTGATGCTCAGAAGCACCCGTTGGAGAAGAAAGTAGTTAGAGAGGAAATTGTATGGTGCACGGATATATTTGACAAGTTTGTTGAAGTCAACCAGGCTATTCAGACAGGAGAGAAAGTCTGCCGCAGTTACAGGCCAGCTAAACCGAATCAGGAAGAGATCCTAATCAGTATCTATTGCAGTGAGAAAGAAGATGTTAAGTTTATCACAGACAGAGGTGTTAAGAAATTTGGAAACCTAAAAATTGATTTGACAACTATACCGCAACTAAGTGAATGGAAGCAACGAGAGATTAAACTCACGATGCAGTACGGCGACACAGAGATTAAAATCAGCGCGCTTGACGTTCTTACTGGGCACTGTGTCAAAGCTAACATAGACTTCCAAAATGAATGACGTAGCTACAGTTAGTGAGATACACTAGATGTTGTTAAATGAAGTTAGAACTTGTACAGCATTAAGTCTATTTTATACTAGTAAACATATATATACAAGTACAGTAATAGTAGTATACAAGATACAAGAATATTTTTACAAATTTTAAATGACAATGAGGAAATGTTAATCTTGTACATAAGATCTCTGATAATGTGAATTATGGCTACATCATTCCCAGCAAACACAAAATTTTATAACATGTTGTTAACATTATGGTTAGGTTATAATGTTAATACAACATTCCAGTAATTAAATTATAATCAAGTTGCAAATTCATATATGTAGTTCTACAGAAAAAATGTTTTGTACACCAAACTGCAAATGTTATTGGCTTTTCCTGCACCAGCGGAAAAGTCATTGTCTTTATAACATAAAATTTATCAGCTGGGCTGTTGCTTTACTTAAATTTTTTTTTTTTAATTTAGTGATTAGTCATTTTGTAAGTAATGAGTGGTTATGTATTCTTCTAATAATACTGTAGTGGTAATCATTAAACATTTCTTGAAGTTTAATCCCTAATCACTAGTAATTTTGAAATAAGTATCTAGACAAACTGCAAAACATTTTATTAAATAGAACAAAGAGTAACAATTTTGAAACTCAAGAAAAACCTTTGTAGTTAAAAAGTGCTCTTCACTATTTTCTACCTTATATTCCAAACCCATTCAGCTCTTTAATACTGATGAGCTGATATTAGGGCTCTGCAATTTGACATTGCACTGACCAGCTGTAATAGAAGCTGGAAGTTGGTTGTAAACATTGGGAAAAATTTGGAAATGTGAAGGATTATAAAAATAATATATTCATCCAGGTGTGAAATACTGTATTATTTTAACAAAGGTATTACTTCTTAAACACACTCTCAACCAAATGTGTGATGATGACATGCAGTGGTTTTAGAGAAGTGATCAGTTGTGGAGGAATGTAATTCTCACATGTGAGGATAATGCTGTGATCACATACAGTACATGGTGATATGTCATGTATGGTGATCATGTTGTGACAGATATTTAGTCATTCATTTGTGTTATAAAAAAAAACTGAGTGATTAACATTTGAGTTAAGAATATTTTATGATCATATGTTGTAAAAAGAAGCTGTGTTATGATCAAAATCAAAGATGTGATCAAATTGTTAAGTGTGATCATTTGTAAAATATAATTACAGTACACTGGTTATGTTGTGAAAGCAATTTAATATTTCAGTGTCCAAGTTTTGATCAAGAAGTGAGTATATTTGTGATCATTTGTTAAGTATCTTGTACACTTTAGTGATTTTGTTGTGACAAGGATTTAGTCATTCATACTTTTGCAAATTGCGATTGGCATGCATGCTGACAAGGTTTCAGCAAGTCCAATTTGTTTTACTCATGACTTGTTGTATCATCATACAATTAATTAGGCCTACTGCTGGTATTGTGTAAATACAGTAAAGTTAATTTTGAGTACCGGTATATGTACTGATTCATAAAATGGTATCATTCTAAAAGGTATTTCAATACCATTATGTAATTGGATATTACTGTATATGAATGTAGTAGCTGTTATCTTGTTAGTGTTTATCACTTTTTTGTAATTTTTAGGGAGTAAAGCCGCATACTCACTGTGCCGATGGTCGTCGGCCGCCGTGATTCTATGGAGATCGTTTTAAATGACAATCCGTTCAGACTGCCACCAACAATCGGCAGACGGTGTCTCGTTGTCTAATGCTCACAGGGAGTGGAGTTGGATTTATGGGCCAACAGTCGCACAGCTGAAATACGCACTGCTTTCGGTGACTCCTCCCAGACCTGCCAACTCCTGGGCCATGAAAATCTGGAGATTTTTTTTAAATCTTAAAAAAATCTGGAGATTTACCAAAAAATCTGGAGGTTTCCAGAATTAACCGAAAGATAATGCAATTTACTAAAAAAGACACGTCAAGACTAATCATAGTGGTATAAAATCAATGGTACAAAATTACTGCAAAACAACTTATTAGATTGTTGCTTGTCTATCGCGGTGAATACATTGAATAATAACGATCTTATCAATCATTTATGCATAAATCAGAGTATTTTGTGGAGGGAACCTGTAAAATCAGTAAAATCGGGTGAAAATTACATTCGATCGGGAGAATTGGAGATTTGTTTAGATATCGGGTGACACACGACAGGATCGGGTAAGTTGGTAGGTCTGCTCCTTCCCTTCACTAAATGAGTACACAATCAAATGATTGTTTTCATTTTCAGGTCATCATTTTGTCGTTTTCTTAAAGAGTACATACACTGCTTAAAATGTTTATGTCACAAATTAAAGTTAACTATTTCCTCCTAGTGTGTGTTTCATAATCTTTGATTAAAAAAGTGGATGATGTACAACATAAATACAAAAGTTAGCTAATAGTAACAGTATCCATAGAAATGACAACATTTTTACATTTTACAATGTCGATCAACTAAGTATTCCAGATAAGTTTACTCTTAGTATTTAGAAGTAATGTAGCAAAACATTTATAATAGAAGCCATTCAATTTGTTAAATAGTTTTGATTGTCGGCATTAAAACACAAGATATTTCGGTGTAGTGTAAAAACAAATTGCTTGAGTGAAATATGTCCATTGATATGTTTACAATCAGGTGTGGCAACAGAACATCGGACTCCCATCTTGGGTGCCGATGTCCCGAATGATAGCGTACGTGGACTGGTCTATAATCAAATAAATAGAGTGAAGCAAAGAAATAAATGCCAGCTGAATTTGGGATTGAACCAATTACAATACTCTGGAAATTGAGCCGTCCCTCGTTGGTAATCAGGCAGATTAAGGGACGGGCTGCCCCCTCCCCCTTTCAGAAAGTTAAAAAAGAAATTTTAATAGAAAAAGAAAATTATTCATCGTCCAAAACACCTCAGAGGTTATTTCTGGGTGTTTAGAAAACACCATTTCCATGACCCCCAAGGGAAGTGTTGGCTCTCGATCTCCCTCCACCCCTTCCCCTCCCCCCTTTTGGACATCTCTGTATCCGCCCCTGGTAATGAGGGATGTTAATATTGATATCTTCTTTCGTAGGAATCATGTGAGAATCAACATTAGATTGGTAGTATTGATACAGGTACATCAACAAATAAATAAAGACATCAAACCAATCAGCAAATCAATCAGTATTTTTAGCCGTGGGAGGCTGAATTGGAAGAGAGTGGTGGCAACAAGACTAATAGCTTAACTAAGCCGAAAAGGCCAAAGGAAGAAAATTGATATATCGTTTTGGTATAATTGACAAAAATAGTGTGTGAAATTTGTGTCGTCACAATTATGACAAAAAATGTAATTAAAAAGCAATTGTTAGTAATGTATAATTGTTGGCTATAGATGTACATGGGTTCATATTGCTCCAAGAATTGTAGAGTTACAGTAAAGGTTAATTTATGTAAACCAGTGAAGACTGTAAACAGTAGTATCAATGCTGATTGGTGATTGTTGTATGTATCAGTGATGATTGTAAATAAGACAGGAGTTTTATTGCATAACTAATACTATGTAAAATGTTTAGATTAAGCCTGTGTATATTTTTGACTAAATGTAATGTCTCCAATCATAGGTCCATTCTCCAATCCAAGCCAATAGGAAGGGGGGGGGGGGGGAGATTTCTAATGTGTCAACCCCCTTTTCTATTATTCCATTAAACACCTTCTAATAAACCAGTCACGAATCATAATAAAGAAATATATCACATACATATGCTAAAATGCTTCAGATACATTTATTTGCCACCACCAATATAAGAGCTCTTCCTCTAAACCCTAGTAGGGCACCAACCTCTTTCTCATAAAAAAAAAATGCCTCTTCCCCCCACCCCCTTTAAGTAATGCTGGTTAGAGGCCTCCAATTAAAGAACCATATAGACCTCAGTATTATGCGCTATATAAATTTCACTACATACATACATTTGAATTATTAATGAAATCTATCCATGTTTTTGTGAATCCAAATACTGTAGATTAGGTTTAACGTTTGATTTTTAAGCTTGTTTTAGCCCAAATTGATATTTAATTTTATACCTACAGTAATTATGTACTTTATATACTTTTATACTGTATTCTGTATTTAAAATAGAATAATAGAATTAAATACAGTAGGTATGGTTTGCGATATTAATTTCCAAAAGGAAGTATTAAATAGATGTGTATGACAGAGGAGTGGATCAATGATTGCAGAATAGTTTAGGGTGGATTACAGGGTTGTTTCACCAGTTTTGGTATCAGTAGTAGGGATTTTGTTTTTTGTATTTTGACAGTCAAAATGAGAAAGTGCATTTCCCAGGATTTGGAATTCGTAATGATTAATTTTGAGTGCTTTGCTAGTGTAACATATTGAAGTTTTTAAAATGTTTATATGTATCGGTATTACCATGGAGGTATTAGTTTATTATTACAAGTTGAATAGAGTATGAATTTAATGGCATATTATATACTGTATACGATACATTATTCCTACTGAAGTATCATATTCAAAGGTGTCCCAAGTCTCCTGCAACTTGCAGGGGTGTCCCGTAAATCGTGACAGAATCCCGCACACTCGAAAGCAAGCAAGAAAGAATTCATAATAATAAGTAAACGCATGCAGTCATCTTTTTTAAAACATTTAAATAGAGAAATCTAAAGACCGGGTTTTGTGACCAGGGTCCCCAAGCCTCCTGCGGAGTCCCGGAATGGAGTCTCCAAGAAATCGGCGGGGAGGCCTCCAATATTACCGTGAAGAATCTTCTGGAAAATAACCATATTTACATGTTTTTACAAGTTTTTACCACTGTATTATCAGTTGCCAAATTCAGTGCCAGTGGTTACCACCATGCATTTAAACAGATCTCCCGGATGTGGATTCTTCCAACTTGGGACCCCTATAATTTCAATACTTGTTGAAAAATTATTAGTATGATTTTTTATTGTGTAAAAGTATGACAACATTAACTAGCATGCTAAAAACAGTATTATCATACGTTAATCTTTTTTGTTGGTAGGGTAGACTAAGCTAGCTAGATACTGTACTATTAAGTCAGCACTGTCTCATTAAAGCTCCTCTGAACAATGTTTTAGTGATTCCTCATTGTAGGGTCTAATGTTCTGTTCAAACGAGCTAGTTTTATATGTATGACTTGCCTATATGGGAGTGTAATATCATCATGCCCATATTTTATGCATAAATTACAGATATACTTCACATAATACTTGTGTGAAAAAAAGTACAGAGCAGTGATGCCATTTACTGTGTTTATAGTTTGATTTCATTTTTTTCTTTTCTTTGGGTAGTTTCTAATATACTTTAGTCATGGCTACAGGTATTATTCTACTATATACCAGCTCTGTTTTACCTATTATTCAAGCCCTCTGAGTCTTTTTATAAGCTCCATATATATTTTATTTATCATTGTTATTGAATTTTATTGGACTGTACTTAAATAATGAATGATTTTTAAAACTTTTTAAAGGTTTTTATAGAGCTATTACAACACTCTCTTTTCAGTACTTAGTCGCCGTTTCCAAAAAGAAACATCACTTGAGAATATGAACTGACAGTTCATGAAACGTTGGTAAAGTTTCACCAAAGTTTAATCCCTGGTTTAACAAAAAAGAAAATTATATCATAATATTTTTACAAAAACACATGAATTTATTTCAACAACAATATCAAGTTTCATGTGTAACCTGTGATTTTTCAATATATAGATGTGATGTAACATTATGTTCTTATATGGCAAATCATAGAAATATGTCATAAAACTGATTGTGTCGATAGACCTTATATAAATATTACAAGTTTTTTTTTTAACTACTGTATGGTATTAATATTGATATCCTTTTCCACTTATGTATAATTTATTAGTATTACTATTACTTTGTAAGTATATTGTTTGAAACATAATATATAAAAATGAATAATATAATTAGATTTATAGACGATTACACATGGTAGTAATTATTATCTGTACCTGCTATCTTTAATGGAATATTCCAGCTGAATCGATACAGTAAAAGGACAAAAGATAGAATTGACATATGACTTAGAAATTGATCTTTTCTTCAATATTGATTTAATTCCTCATAAGAAATTTAACAACCCCAAATATTGATGAAGTCTTAATTTTGAAATACAGCATAGCTATATGCATACACAGTGAATAAAATTACTATTGTTCATCCTATTCACAAAGTTATAGAAAATTGTCAATATAAAATATATATATATATATACTTTACAAATAATTTACATGATACAGAAAATCATATGTAGAATACATTACTAGTTAGTTTACCTCAATATTTTCATTAGTTTTCAATTTTATCTCATTAATTACAGTAATTTGGATTGATAGGGAACATGATTTTTTTTGTCCCCATAAATTGATTGGAATAAAGTATTATAAAGAACTAAAAACCCCCCAAAAATATCCAAAATAATATATTGTACAGTAAATCAGATACAGTACAAACAATCCATATTTTAACTACTGTACTATCGTACAGTAGATTATCAACTATATTTTCTTTCAAAATGAATAAATAATGCTAGGAATAATATTCACAACATATTACCAAAATCAATTCTAAAGAATAGTTTTCTAAATAATTATCAACACAACAGAAATATTACAAAATTGTGTCAGGTAAAATTCCCGGGACTATCTAAGTATCCATAACCTTGATAAGATCTGAAACAATTGTATCAACTTTAAATAAATTGCTTATTATTTGAACCTTAATTATTCAGTATTTTACTCATCTCCCTTTCATACTGTTTTATATATCAAACAAAATGTATGTATCGCATAATGGTATTAATAAAGATGTATGATGAATTTCCGCCTCTGTTGTAATTGTGAATTTAGTCATTTTCCTAAATACTTTAATATTGTATAGTTATAATTTAAGAATAAAATGTAAGTCTGATTACATTTACTGTATATTTTCTCTTGAATGATTTTACAGGTATCATGCACGAGTGTCTATAAAACTCGTATTTCTGATCTGAGTTTTCTAGTTCTAGAAAACTCAGATAGCTAGACACCCATAATGCCTGAATATATTTTCACACTAGGTTTGAATACAAGTATAGTACAGCATCACCAAGAAGAGAAAAGGGTAGTGCAAAGTTTTAGTACTGTACTTCAAGGATGGAATTAATTATTCTTCCGTAAAATTAAATCTCAAAATGGCCTCTGGTTATGAAAATGGTGCATCGGTGGAGTAAAGGCCAGCGTCACTGTAATTAAATACGATTTTAATTGTTTTAAAATAATTCGAACATCAATGAGATGTTTACAGTATACTTTGTAGTCCATGTTTTTACAATATCTACTATATTTATATACTATACCATTTCTTAAAAATAAATTGATAAAAATCAAAATTAAAATGTGCAACATTTGGCTCATGGACGTAGATTGGCAGCAGCGACCGCTCTAGGATATATTTTCTGTGGTGATAAGGTGTCCGACAAAGGGGACTTGAGATCGTATGCCTGAGCTGGGAGAAGGGGTTCAGAGAGGGTTCCCCCACCCAAATGAGATTTTTTAATAGCAACCTCTGGATGGCCAGAAATGGCACTCTCAGACTGTGACAGACATGTGTTAGCTTGGTGTGGGCCTATTTATATATATTTTATGGTCTGACTGCCCGACGAGCTCTGCCCGGGGGGGGGGGGACTTGACCTGTCCGATGGGGACTTACTGTAAGCCCCCCTGTCCCTGCTGGCGCTGCCACTGACTGGCAGTGCTACCTACAAAAAAATTACTTCATCTGTAAATCCTAAGAAATGACAATTGATAAAAATAATAGTAATTATAAATATACTGACCACTATATTATTTTACATTACATGAATACAATTTATACTTAGTTCTACAGTCGGCAATCAATGGGTCACGACCCAAGTGTGGGTTGTGGATAAACATTCAAGGGTCTTCAGTTCGCTAATGGGTCTCCAAAACAATAATAGAAAAGGTGTTTAGTGTTGTAATTAACATTTTAAAAAATTAGAATTATTCCTGTGAAAACTTTAGATCCATAACTTAAAATTCTGGCTATTTTTTTTTTTTTCAAAATTGTGTTAAATATCTGGTTGTTGTCACCTGATATGCCAACTGATAAGCTTGATCAAACTTTCTTTTTTGCATTCAACAGAGCAGCAAGGCCAAGTAAAGGATGTGTTTTTTTTTTCTAAAATGCACTGCACAATGAATCTAATAAATCAATTTCTTTTTCGTATACAAATTAATCTTATCCTTTGTTGCAATATCGAAAGTGAAATTATAAATAACTTTGCTGTCTATACTTGCCCTTAACATTTAAATACTGTATGCCATAAATTTTAAATAAGCACTGCCATGCTAATAAAATTTTTGAAACTTTTAGTACAGCATTTTAAAAAGGGCGCTTAACTAATTATACCACGTACATTTTCCAGAGCAGTGCTTAGCAAAGAAATATTTTGAAGCGGTGCTGATTAAGGAAATCATGTTTTGGTGCAGTTCCTATTCAAAGTCATGTTTTGGTGCGATACTTATTCAAGAGCAGCGCTCATTAGAGAAAATCGCTTACCAGTATTTGATGACTTATGATAATTGTACTTGACAAAATATACATAAATATTTGTTTGTATTAGCATATTACAGTAAAACCAAAAAACCAAAATGGTGAGATGCTTCCTACACTAGTAAACACTCAGTAAACCAGATTTTACAATAATTTATCATCTTAATAACTCACAAAAACAATTATACTTACAAAAAAATTAGTAATAGTGAAATTGCACTTAATAATGCACTTTTGGCGATTAAACAAATTCCATGATGATCCATGCTTTGAGGCACTATGACAGTAAAGGCTAACTTGGAATGCGCTGTAGTGTGACGCAGCTCAACGCAATTTATCTTTAGGGACAGACTTTAGGTTGTGAGAATATGAAACATGGTTAATATTCTACAACTCAACTGTCCTGATCCAGTTTTTTGAAGACCTATCACGTCTGTGTAAACTCACATGGACCAAAAATCATGTCAGACTGCGTCATACATCACTGTCGGGGCTGACCTTAACGCATTCACGCATTTTACAATCATCCTTACTCATCATAATCTGGTATGTCGTCAAATTTGTAGCCTTTATAACCTTTATAAGCGTAGTACGCTAAACGAACGTGGTAGAAGCCAGGAATGAAGAGGATGCAACCGATGACTATCACAGGCCAGGTCCTGTCGTGGTACTTCACACTGAAATATGTGTTGGTGAACAAAAGCACACCTACCGTCAGCAAGACAGTTCCCATCACTAACAGTATGATAGCAACAATGATGGACCGATATGGAATCTTTGGTTTCTCGATGGTCTTCCACTAAAGTATTTAAAACAAACATTATGCCAATATTATACAGAATATTTTATTACTATAATACAGTACCTGGTGTATGTTGAATTTTTATGCACAACAGGGAATGCTCCTCAGGGAATGAACAAGGTTGCAAATTTCAGAGGTGCAAGTATGGAAAATGTTTTCCAGGAGAGCTTTTTTAATAATGGTTTTCTTTACGCATCTAATTGGCTCTTCCTGCTACCCTGGAAAAACCTTTGAATTTGTTCGATTTTTTGTTCTATCCCGTTTTTTTTTTCCTGTCTTTGCACAGGGTTTTTCAATTCTTGGATTGTTCCTGCACTTGTTCCAAAGACCATAAGAATGATCAGCCTTGGTTAGAGATGATGATTTTAAATATTAAACTGGTAAATTAACTTTTTTTTGGTTTTCAATAGCATTTACATAAATAATTTTCATCCTACAACCTATAAAATTTATGCAAGTTGGACTGAAAATCCACTGACCGCAGGGTTGTGATCTATGGTCCTATGGTTTGAACTCTCCACAGCCCACTGTACAACAGTACTGTATCATTGCAGCCCTGGTTTGTGTCTAAGTAGCATCAAGCTTTTTATGTAACGTTTTTTTTTACTTCAGAACATAAATTTTTGTAAATGATTTTGTTTTTATTTTATAATTTCAACATCAGTTTTCATTATATGACTGAGAAAAAGTCTGTGTCCGAACCAAGAAGTAAACAAGGGTTTGGACAAAGTCGCTGAGTAAAACCCCTAATGTGGTCAAGAGGAAAGAGTTTATGGTTTATATGGTTGGTTACGATGCCTCCCTCGAATAAATGCCCCATCAAAAACCCTTTACCATTATTTAAATAAGTATAGTATCCTCAGTACAATGTATTGGTTTACATCATAGAAGTGTTTTTGATACTGTTCAATCAGTCATATATAGTGCCGTGAATTCATAGAAAAGTAAATATTTATGAATTTTTAATTACCTGAAGATCAGAGAACTCGCTGTCACTTTGCATGCGTACATACTTCATACTGCTATCAGTTGCGTTCTTCTTTGTCATATCACTTTCGTTTTTCTTAAACAAATCCAGAATGGAATGTTGGTAACCAGGAAAGATGATATTCAATTTATAGTAAAATCTGATGTCCAAGCTAAAAAAGAAAATACAACTACTGCTTTAAGATTAGTAATGAAACCATTTAATTTATGGAGGGTCATATTTGACATGGCCACATTCCATGTTAAATCTTGTACATACAACTACTGCCTGTAGTTTATAGATATGTAGTTGGCCTTAGCTTAGGGCCTAGAGTTAATTATTTTATTTTATTTACGCCGTGGCTATTAAGATATGGTACTGTATCTTAACTTCCATTTGCTAAAGGTACGGTAAATTGCATTATCCAATAAAATGCCGCCACCAGCTTGACAATATCGTTCAAAAATCTCTTGCTGCCTGCTTTCCTGCAGAGTTGTTATAAAAAAGTGACATAATACGTCAAACTCATGGAGCACAAAACAAGTCCACAATTGAGCAACTTGCTAAAAATGAATACAGTAAATAAAATCAAATGAAAATCAACAGAACAATTAATGACAATCTTCTATCACATATTCCTCAAAGGTGCATTTTAAAGACTGTATATAACAATAACAATATGTTGCTTTCATATGAGCATCTTATTAATAGGTCCTTCATGTTATGAGAAAGGATGGTATAATCAACCTGAGCAGTATAATAATAACTAGATTTGAACTCGTCACTGAGGACGAGTTAGGTGATCCGCCGCACTTTGACCCTCGATGAAATGTGCGCGGTGCAGATTGAACAATTTTTAAATGCTGAAAATGGCCTAAAGTATACGCTAATTCAGTTTTTAAAAAAAAGAATTTGGAGCATCTTAAAAGAGTTACTCATGCGTACGTGCACGTCATTTCACACATGCGCATGGTAATGTCACGAAATGTTCACTCATGATATGAGATACATGTATCAACTCTCATTGACAAAACGCCTGTTTGTGAGGGACTTATTATCCTTTATAGTATTTATCATATATAAAAATTCAGTTTTTGAATTCGGATGGCAATATGATGACGTCACAATGTCCGATCAGCCATAATGATCTATAAAATCATATCTACATCTCATGTTATTTCAGAATATGTAATAAAAATTTGGGGTCACCTTTCATCCTAAGGAGCTATAACTGATTAAAAATATTCATGATTTTAAGGATATATAAATTTTGGCGCGCGCGTATGCGCACATTAACACGAGCAAACGGAAAATGAAAGTACTTGGCATTTAACTTTGACATGAAGTGTATGCCCACTTATTATGATTCAAAAATGTTGAATGGTTAAGATGCTATGGGATCATGAATGTTTTGAGGAAAGAAAGATGAGGGGGCCTGATTTTAGCATAATTTCACTGTATATCGGCACAAACGCGCGCAAAGATCACTATGTTCAATGCGTAAGTACGGCATTGCTATTGACCATAAGATGACTGAAAAGAATGGAAAATTGTGAAAACAATGGAACCCAAACTATGTGAAAAAAAGGAATGTCTAGCTTCCGTACGTGCTGCGCGTGTAAAAATGCGCGCGCGTAGTGGGAAATTTAAAAAAAAATTGAAATGCTCAAAATGGCCTGAAACGTGCTGTAATTTAGTCAGAAAGTGATTCCGAGTTATGACGCGCATGCGTAAATTAGGGTACATTGCATTTAACATTGACTTGAAGTTAATGCTCACAATACGATTTCGAAATGGCAATTGGTTAGGCTGATATGATCGATAATATAAATACGCAAACTCACTTTTTGACTAAATTAGAGCACGTTTCAGGCCATTTTGAGCATTTCAAATTTTTTTAAATTTTGCACTACGCGCGCGCATTTTCTACGCACACAGATTTTTACGCGCGCAGCACGTATGGAAGCTAGACATTATGTTTTTTCACATATTTTGTGTTCCTGACATTGTTTTCACAAATTTCCATTCCTTTTTGGTCATCTTATGGCCAATAGCAATGCCGTACGTGCGCATTAAATATAGGTATCTTTGCGCGGATTTGTACTGATATGCAGCGAAAATATGCTAAAATCAGGCCTATTTTTAATCACTTATAGCTCCTTAGGTTGAAAGGTGACCCCCAATTTTTATTACATATTCTGAAAGCACATTAGTTGTAAATATGATTTTATAGATCATAATGGCTGATCGGACATTGTGATGTCATCATATTGGCATCTGAATTCAAAGAAAGTGAATTATAGCTATGACGTCATTTTAGAAAATACGCATTTGAGCGTATCTCGCTTATCCTTGATCGATCGTCTTCCAACTTTGAGTATGTTATAGCTGAGACAATTCTCTTTCATATATTTGACTTCTTTTTACATTTTGATGACGTCATCATGGTCAAAAAATTTGTTTTTTCTGACCCCCCCCCACATCTTTCTTTCCTCAAAACGTTGATGAGCCCTTATCATCTTTACCATTCGTCATTTCTGAATCATATTAAGTGAGCGTAATCTTCAGGTCAAAGTTGATTGTCAGGTACCTTAATTTTCCGTTCGTGCGACTTAACGTGTGCGTACGCGTGCGTCATAACGCGTGCGTCAACCATTATGAATACTTAAAATTTTGCCTACTTTTAATCAGTTATAGCTCCGTAGGATGAAAGGTAACCCCTAATTTTTATTACATATTCTGAAAGCACATGAATCGTAGATATGATTTTATAGATCATTATGTCTGATCGGACATTGTGACGTCATCACATTGCTATCTAATTTTTAAAAAACTGAAATTTTATTTATGACGTCATTATTTTTCAACTTATTTGAATGTATCTTGCTTATTCTTGATCGATTGTCTTCCACCTGTGAGTATGCTATAGCTGAGACAATTCTCTTTCAGAAGTGTCCCTTTATTTTCCATTTTGATGACGTCATCATGGTAAAAAAGAATGCTTTTTTGGAGCCTTCTCATCTTTCTTTCTTAAAAGATGTACACAATTTCAAAATAGAGGGTGGCAGAATGCATTTCGATGCTATCAGACCGATAGTTCGTATACTGTAAAGGGAAAATTTGTGTGCCATTACCAACCAACAGGGGGTTTTAAATTAAACTTGACAAGGTTTAAATTCATGTGCCATTACCATCTTCGGGCACGTCGTATAAGGTATTCGTACTTGTTCGTTAAAATTTTAAAATTGTTAATATCACTTTTCAGATAATTTAAAGCACGTTTCAGGTCATTTTCAGTATTCCAAAACTTTCCATAATTTACGCGCTGTACGCTCATTTCCACACCCACAGCACTTACTGGAGCTGGAAATTACGTTTCGGTTACATGTTTTGGGTTTGTGACACTGTATTAATATCAGTACCGTGCGCAAGGACATTAAGACGTATGTGTACACATTCCTAAGTCATTAAATGCTCAAAATTACTCTTTTTAAAAACTAAATAGAGCATGTTTTAGCATATAATAATTTTCAATCAGCACCGCACATGCTTCGTGAAGGTCTAAGTACGGCGGATCACCAAACTCGTCCTCAGTGACGAGTTCAAATCTAGTTAATTTTATTTTTTCCTGATATAGTGTAAGTAACATTTGACCTGACCTAATGTGAAAGTATACTACATACTTTTGAGTGTTTGTGAGTTTTTATTATCAAGATTAACTTTTTTTTTAAAGAATTCATTATCTCATCATTTAAAAGGGTTACATGAAAAGTTTTGCTTCAATGTTCAAAATTGAATACTCCACAGTTGTGTGACTAATATAGAGTACCACAGTCGTGTCGTCACGATGGAAGGTGGCACTTTCTGTTGTCAACAGACGTTGGTTACCGTTCACAGACTTTCTGGAATAGGCATTTTAAAATCTAATATTTTACCATCAAAATGTACTAAAAACACAAAAGCTCACATTATATTAGTTATCGAACACACATTTAATCATCAATTAAAATTTACAAAGAAAAAGTAAGATAAAACATCTTCATAATTACGTTAGAAATTGGGATCAATGGTGTGTCAGTTAAGAAAATGGCGTCCGGTTGAACTCTTTTTGCAATGATAGCAATGGAGTAGTATCACATGGTATCGTGACGTAACACTGTAGTACTCTATTATAAGAATAGATTTATAAATAAAAATATTTTACACAAAGTTTTAGTTAAGATTATAAATAGTTTAATACCTTCTTTTTGTTTTGTAAGTTTATTTGTATTCTGGATGCACAATCACTTTTTATAATGGGTGCCAAAGATTGCTTCAAAAGTGAACCCAATAAAATTCAAATCAAAATCCAAGACATAACATGCTACCGTGTACCGTGTTCAAATTTGACATTTATTCAAGTTTGACATTTATTATGGTGTGTATTTTTTTAAGTTTTTTTATATGAGCAGGGAGTTGTTAAATAACAACTCCCTACTCAGAGTTATACTTTCACATCAATTAAAATCAAATGTTTATCAGGGAAAAAACTTTGTTATTTATGTTTTAATGTATTTTTGAAAGAATGCGACACGTCGGGATACGCTAGTTCAGCAATAGCGAGCGATTTCACAAGTCTTCATGAACAAACACACCGGTTGCGGCATTTTATTGGAGGATGTAATTTACCCTCCTTTATTTAGCCAACAGAAGATAATATATGATACTATACTAGACAGGGAGTTTTATTTATTACTGCTGTGCTGTACAATATATTAAAGAAGGGTGTAGGCCTAGCCTAGGCTCTGCCTCTATTCTCACCGATTTTATTCATATAGGCTTAGGCCTATAATAATAGTATACACGTCACTACAGAATTTTGCCATTACACAAATATTATACATGTTTTATTTTATTAGTATTACAGTAGAAACTCTCCCTTGAGACACACCTCTCCTATGGAGGCTAGCCCTATGTTTACACACCCAACACACACGTATCAGCCGGTATAAAACTCTATCCAGCCTCCATCCTGAGAAATCAAGCTTAGGACCTAGGCCTAAGCCTAGCTAGGCAGAGCCTAGGCCTTGGCCCTAGGCCCTAAGTAAGGTAGTCCTGGCTAGCTACCGTCTTAACGCTAATTTCGTTTAGTAATCCTTTTGTATATATCTAGCCCTCCTAGAAATTGGACACCAAGGTAAATAAAAATTCACAATTTACCAAAGGAAATAATCATTACTAAAGAGATACATTTTAAAAATCGCTTACATTTTTGTTGTTAGCACAAAATACTGTACACCATCATCGAGAAACAAGATCGATAAAGAATATTCACAAAAACATTAATTGCGCCCTCAAACATTACTCATAAATACGGTCAATCTTGATAGTGCACACATAGTACAGTATAATATATAATGTTTATTTTGGGCTGATGTTATTTTCAGTAATATAATAGCGATATTTGGAAAAACCCATTTATTTTGCAACAAAAGATTTTACATTCTATAGAAATTTTAACAAATAAAAAATTAGGCTTTACAGGCCTAAGCTTCCTAATGTATTTCTGAGTTGGCCCCAAAGCATAATTATTACAGTATTTCTAGTAGGCCTATTAATTTGTAAGAACGGAATTAAAACAAAAGCCGATGATGGTCACAGAGAGTTAGTTTGTACAGGTAAACATTTAAATAAAAGAGAGAAAAAAAATTACAATTTGACCCCCCCCCCCCAAAAAAAGTCACTAGTGGTGTTTTTTTTTTTGTTTTTTTTTTTGTTTGTTTGTTTGTTTTTCTTTTTTTTAAAGATTTTTTAATCAATATTATAAATAACCAAGAATCACTATCAGATCGATTAATGACTAAATGTAGCAGTGCGTTTTTCTCATCATCACCCCACAGTTGGAAAATACAGTACCGTATTCCACAATCCGTGGACACATTTGAGTCACTAATTAAAACCCATATATTCCAGCAATTGTTTGTATAATAATTTATGTCTTTTTCCCCCTTTATATCGGATTGGCCTGCCTGTTTCTTGAGATCACTATCTTGGTCGCCGACTCTGAACACCCGGTCACCTGTGGCAGGGCGAATAATCTACACCTTATTAGATTATTGTCATCATGCTATTTAAAAAAAATTATTATTTGATGTAAAGCGCACATAGGCACTGCGTAATTATTATTAATATTATTATTATTATTATTATTATTATTATTATTATTATTATTATTATTATTATGTTTATTTTACCGACTTTAAGTCGATTTAACTATCCATATTATTCATTATTATTATTATTATTATTATTATTATTATTATTATTATTATTATCATTATTATTATATTATTATTAGGCCTATTATCATTATTAATATTGTTATTATTATTATTATTATTATATTGTTATTATTAATCTAAAATTTGCTACAAGAACGTGAAGCAGTAATGACATAATAATCATTATTGTTGATTTTCGGTATCATTTCAGCTGCTTGAGTTTCTTTCCTATTCTTCCTTCTTCCTTTATTATTTTAGTATATTTTACGTTATTTTTATTCATAAATAAATGATTAATAACATCAAACATTCATTAAGATTATTTTTAAATTACTCTGTATTACGTTTTTAAGGCCTATTATGTATACATATGATTTTTTATCTTGTCAATTAAGTCAGAGGTATGTCCTGGCAGGGAACAAAGGTCAAAAACATTTTTCTTTTTTTTTCAATCATATAGTGGTTCTAGATGTGTATAAGAGACAGATATATATATATATATGTATATTATAATATAAATCATCAAAGCTACATATGCAGTGTTTGGTAAGGGCACGATGGAACATCGTAGGCTACCCTGTACCGTAGCTTTTCAACGAATAAAGTCCTATGAAAAATCATTGTGTAATAAAATGACACATATATACATTTCTTATAATTGAAAATGTTAAATATTTGTCAGCAATTAGCATTTTTTGTATGTTACTACTGACCTTAAATTTTATAACTTTAATTATCAAATTATACGTTGCAAGTGCTTTATCTATATGTCCTCCCTCATATTTATTGCTTGTGCTGTTAATTACGCGTAAGTTAATTTTTTTTTTGTATTTGTACACTCCAGTGGGAAGAAAATATCCAATTGTTGATGTAGATGATTGAGAAATTGAATCCTAATTAATTGCATGTGTAAAAACATTGGTAAAAAAATGTGTTAAAAGGAGATAGAACATACTACTAAAGTGGGATTTAATTTCCAGAAGAACATTCAATAAAAGAAAGAAAAAGTCATGCTCTTGGGCTACACTATAGTGTTGCAAATATGTATGTAATTATTGTCTCTCATAGTTTATCTTTTTCTAAATACAATTTGATTGAGGGGTGGCACCAGGATTTTCCCGACGAGGGCCGAGGTACCCTTTCTGGGATATGTCCCAGACAAGAACAAAGAAATAATAATAATTACATAGGCCTAGTAAAAATGAGTTCATTTCCATTTTGATGCCAAATTGACGTTCCATACAATCGCAAAAAGTCAAGTGACAGAAGTATAAAAATCAAGTGGCGCAGTGCAAAACTAAAGTGGTGGCACACGCATTTGAGTTTGCACTGCGCCACTTTAGTTTTGCACTGCACCACTTTAGTTTTGCACCGCGCCATTTGACTTTTGCACTGCGCCATTTATAATTTGGTTTTTTGGCGTTCCATAGTATCGTGCATCCTTGTTTGGGTATTGTTCTCAGGGAATTCCCCTATTCGTTCACATTGTTTATTCCATGTACAATTTGAGCCGTTTGCACAGTTTTAAACTTATTTCACTGGGTAAAACCAAAATAATTGTCTCCACACTGCTGTCGTGGATTTTTTTTAACACAATTTTTATAACAGTCTTGGATTGAAAAAATGGATGGTGAATATTAAACTTGAATTAACGCATCAGTTATGATATTTTAATCATCTTTCCATAAATTCGACAGCCTCTATCATGCCTGTAGATGGGCAATATTTTTTAGTTTTCTTTCTATGCAAGTTTATTCCAATAAATAACAAAATTACAAGACGTTCTCATCCGGTGCAATATACTAACAATAAATAATAAATATCACTTGTTAATGTAAAAAATCAGAGCCAAGTTGCTGTTTATTAGAGGCTGACTTTGCACTTTGCATAACAAGTGATTTTACAATAATTTATAAGTTGTGCAAACGGCCGAAATTGTAAATACTGTAATTGTTTAGTATGTAATCGGCCAACTGAACTGCAATGAGGTATTTGTTCTGTAGATTTATTTCGTCATTGGAATCAACGCGACTGAGAACTTCAGTTAGAGTAGTAATGATGGCATCTCAGCGTCCAAGTTCAGACCTTGCAACGTTTCGTGAATATTTCCGGAAAGCTAAATACATCGTTTTCATGACAGGTGCAGGCTGTAGCGCCGAGAGCGGTATTCCAACGTTTCGAGGAGCAGGGGGACTGTGGAGAACATACCAAGCTCAAGTAAACTTACCTATATATTTGACCAGGCTCTAGGATGTACTGTTTGAGGCCTTTTATGCCTAGGCCTGTTCCTCAGGGGACCATAGTGTGACCATGAATAAGTGCCGTCACATTGGGGAGGGGATGGGTTGAGATGGGGTGCGGTGGGAAGGGGATGAGTCACTTCCTGCTGGCCATAATATGACTCAACAAAAAGAAAACAAAAATTCTGTAGAATAATATGGCTGTCTCTTATACACAGCGCTTAAAATCTGTCTCTTATACACATCATCACAATACATGCAGACATGTGGATAACAGCTTCCTCGATCTCCGAGAACCAATAACATTATAATACTGTATATGCATCTGATGTTCTCAGAAATTGTATAGATTTTATTATTTCAAAATGTCTGAAAGCGAGCGCTTTTCCGGCCTCCAGCGCCTGTCGTTTATAGACTGATAACTGTATCATCACTGTTCATTAGCCAAATGATCTGAAGTTTGAAAAGTGCCTTTGTAGGAAATATTGCTCTGGTCGATTTTATTGTCAAGAAATGATAACTTGCATAACATTGAAACATTCATTAGACATTTCCAAGAATTTTTTATGTTCCAGAAATGTACAATTAACAAACTGCTGCCATCTGTTCCGGTACTATTGGCAAATATCTTTTTATTCATACCAGTTGGCATTGCAATTTTGCAATGATTCGCTGGATTTACGAGACACAATCTCTGACATAACAAAAATCTAGAAGTTGCTGCTGATCGCACCACCTGATTTGAGAGAATACACCCGCCTTACAGCTAATCAAGTACAGCCTTTCAACAGTCTAACCGGCCTTGTGGTGCAGGGAAAACAGACTTTAAAAGATGGTGATGATGATGAGGATGATGATGATGATAATGAAGAAAGATCTTATTAATATTATATATAGTTTTTGTACTGTTTTGCACAGGATCTAGCTAGCCCTACTGCATTTGCGGCAAATCCCTCTCTTGTGTGGGAGTTTTATAGTCATCGACGTGAGGTAGCTGCCTCCAAAGAACCAAACAAGGCACACATTGTGAGTAAATAAGGCAATCTTTCTTAAAGATGTATTGTCCTGGGCATAAAATACCAAAAATATCTTTTTTTGAAATTAACTTGCTCATTTTGAAATAACAGAAATTATCAATTTGAACATTAGTGTACGTACTTAAAAACTTGTTCACCCATAATTTTAGTGAAAAAAAGATAGCATGAAGTGTTTCTTTATTTCTTTATTATCATTTTCCAATATAAAAATCAGGGTACAGGTTTTTTTTCTTTAATTCAATAATTTCTATGCTCAAGTTAATTAATTGGTATGTTACTGCAGAATGAGAAAGTTAATTTCAAAATTTTGTCTTTTTTTTGTCATTTTCAGTGGGAAAAATTTTTCAGCCATGTTTGCACTGGAATAATTTTGACCAAGAATCTGATCAAAATCTAATACTTGTACATTAATACAGAAAGAAGGAATTTTTTTCATTGAATATTTTTTTGTTCACAGGCTATAGCAGAGTGTGAGCAACGACTTGCTAAACAAGGACGCTCAGTGGTTGTTATCACTCAGAATATTGATGAACTCCACCGTCGAGCAGGTTCCAAAAAAGTCCTTGAGCTTCATGGTAAGTTTTCAATCACTGTCAGTAAAACAAGCTGTTGTAGAGGAGTAATCAGTTGCAGTGTCAGCATCTGAAATCTGGGAGGAGGGGGAAGTGAGAAAGTGAGGAGGCATGTAACATTTCGGGGGGTGGGGCAATATTTTTTTCCATAGCAGACTGGAGATACAATTACAATTTATCACAACACACAATAACGTGTAACACTTCTGTCCATGTGCTTGTTATTTTTATTCATATGCTCAGTATATTTATTACAAATGTAAAAAGTTTCTTAAATGCATAACATTCAAGTGGCCAGTGGCCTTGAAATGACAGACAGACCGACGGGAGCAATTAATGTTGTTGGCTTTGCCTTAAGGCATGAATGTGTTTGAATTTAAGAGAAATTTTTAAAAGCTACGCTTTGTTTTTATAAGAACCAGTAAAATTTTGCCAGGCTCAGTGTTTTTTTGTTTTTTTTTTGCTGATTTCATGTTTAGAATGTTCTTAATTTGTTCTTAGTGTTACACACTTTACAAAAGTTGAAAATTATTGTACAGATCTGTACTGTATTCGGTATTACATAGTAACTCCTACTGCAAATAAGGTATGGATAAGATGTTGGGTTTCCTATTTATTTATTTATTTTTTTATAAAAGCTCATTTGACATTTTACCAGCCTCAATTTGTTCTTATTTTGTTCTTAATTTTTTGGCGGTTTAATAATAATAATAATAATAATAATTCCAGCCTCAATGTTCTTATACAATGTGTTCTTATAAAAAAAAAAGTAATTAAGTACCTGCACCGCTCGCCGTGAGTGCTATCAATTTTACTCTTGATTTTTTACCAGGAACTCTGTACAAAACAAGGTGTACTAAGTGCGGGATTGTTGTTGATAATTACACCAATCCAATAGTCCCAGCACTTGCTGGTAAAGGGTAAGTATTTGTAAATAAAATACAGCTTAAAAAAAGAAGAGTACAATTAGGTAATAAAGGATCATTTCACCTACTAATACTGATGATTGTACAGGTAAATGAAAAATGAAAAATTTATTTTTAACACTGTTGTGGAAAAAAATGGGAAATTAAAAAAATTGTTTTTATTTATATTCATTATGTTCAAATGCTCCTATCAAATCTACAAAAAAATAATATTTCTTCTTCAAAATTAAATAAATATAAGTATTTATTTTGTTTACTTAACTGCTTTGGCTACCAGTTTTTAGACTGACATTTCATGTTTTTTAATGACTAGTTTACCAGATCCAAATGTGATGGATGCTAGGATTCCAGTTGAGGAGTTACCAAAGTAAGTCATTTGAAAATAAAAAATATACACTAAATTTCTCTCTATAAAGATCAAATAAAATACCAACTTCAAATAGAATAAACACATCTTTCACTTTTATGATACCAACTTTTTTTACTTTAAAAATCCTTAAAATATTATTACTAGCCTTTTATATACAATTGTAAAATGTAAATGTCCTTTGGAGGAGGGGATAAAGCCCCATCAGACAGGCCAAGCCCCTTCCCTGCTGGGCCACTACCTGTTTCAACAAAAACAACACATGCTAACACGCTAAAAATTGCCCAAATTAGGAGCGCTTAAAATTGCCCTAAATTTCACAGTTTTTCTAGGTTCTAGGGGATTAGCTCATTTTGTCCCTAGACACAGCTTGTCATCTCCCCACTTGGACTGCTTAGCCCCTCTGCAAATCCTAGCACCACCACTGATCATTTCCTTACCAGCTTTTCCGTACATTACTATGGAAATTTAATGATGATTGATGATGAGGAGGTGCCTCATACTGAAACCACAAAATTCCCGCTGTTGGGCTAAGCGTCTGTCCACAAATGTATCTATGGGTTTTCTCTTGCCTATTTATGTAGCTCTCTTGACCAACGTATATAATATAAAGTTAATAATAATAATAAAATTGTTTTTTTTAAAATAAAGAAGAGGTAGATTTGAACAGCATTAGTACACTCGATTAACTTTACACATAATGTGTGCACCTTTACCGCTCTGCTACACTTCTCCTGATAAGTATGTACAGCTGGTAATATTACACCCCTATAATACAACAACCTGCGGATTGAGCAAACCGACTGCATACATAGATATGGCGCAACATGGCGAGGGTTTGTAATCTCAGATTATCTAGTTGGTATTGTTTTTACTACTACTGTATTGATATTATGGTGATAGCTTTTGTTGTAATTATTTATTTTTTAGGTGTTCTGAATGTGGTGCTCTCACTAGACCGCATGTTGTCTGGTTTTCTGAGGCACTGTTTCCTGATGTTCTAGGTGAGGTTGATAAACATCTAGAAAAATGTGACTTATACTTAGTGGTAGGTAACCTCCTTTTGCATGATAATTATTGTATCTTAATTCCTTGCAACGAAACAGCAAGGGATAGTTTCCACCATAGTTTAAGACTTATGTAAAGTGTATAGAGGGATCTGTGATCTATTAGGCGCTATATAAATGTGGTTTTATTATTGTTATTATTATTATTTTTCAGAGGTATCTGTTTTTAGAATGTAACGGCAGACACCTTGTATCACAACTTTTAAGAGTTAACTTGTAGTTTTTTCCCTTATGGAAATTTATATATAATTGATCATTTAATATATATTTATGCAATTTGTATTTTGATGTGTCTGTTTGATTTTGTGATGTTTTGAATGCATTTTATCTCTCCTTTTCGGAGGTTTTCTGAAATAAATTGAAATTGAAAAATTGAAATATATATGTATATATATATACTGTCTCTTATACCCATCTAGAT